TAAGATGTGTATTAAGATCTGAATAGAACTAATTAAGACTGTTTGATTTTTAACATCTGAATGTATAAAATTTATCTTTATTTGAATATTAATAAACATAAAATTCAAATGTAATACTAACTAATATAATATTCTATCAACAAAATATATAGTTTTTTAAAATATGACAATTGTTGGTGGTGATGGCTAACGGGTGAATGTCGACTAGAGGCGTTGGTTGGTGATAGTTTTGGTTGATGATGGTGGTTCATGCTAGTAGCTAGTAGCGGTTGGTAGTGGTGGCGATTACGATTGAGGATGCTGGCGATGGGTGGTGATAGGTAATAATGGCGGGTGGTGGTAATAGTTGTGACTGAGGAAGGTGGTGGGTGGGTGGTGGTAGGTTATAAGATGGGCAGTACCGGCTGTGGTTGTTGATGGTGATGGGGTGGTCAGTTGTGGTAGTTGAGGTGGATGAGTGTTGATTGTGGGTGAGAATGATGGTGGTCGGAGTGGTGGGGATAGTGGGTGGTAATGGTTGATAATGGTGGCGGTTATGATGGAGGATGGTGGTGGTGGTGGTGGTTGAGTATAGTGGTGGTGGCGGCATAGTGGTAGTTGATAATGGTAGGCGGTGGCGGCAGTTAATATGAATATGTGATAGCATCTTAATGAAATTAAGTCGTTGTTATAGATCTTAATCATACAGACCTATTCAGACCCATTAAGTGGTTGTGAAGTAAAAAAACGAACACACTTAATGATTAAGATCTAAATAATTAAGATTCAGACTTTAAAAACAAACGTACTTAATGTCTGAAATCTGAATGATTAAGATTCAGACCTCCATTAAGTGCAAACAAATGAGGCCTTAATTGATTTTTCTGAAACCTTTTTGTGGAAAATGTCGATGACTCAATAATTCTACCAAATTAAAGGCGTTCCCCAAAGATATATAATGAATAAATTAACAAGTCGATCCATTTAATTGAAGAAATAACTTGATGAAGAGTGGGCAAAAGTACTTTTGTGGAGTACATCTGATAAAGACAGGGAAGGGGTTCCAATAAAAAAGTAGCAGTTAAATCTCATATGAATGATTTGCAGCATAATTTAGGCCAACAATCATGAAAGTCATTATCTTAATTATCCTACTAAAATGGAAGATTACATGAATTAAGGCTGAAGATCATCTTAAGATTATATCAAATGTGTCCTTAACAAACTTTTATAAGAAAATATCAGCACAATCAAAATAAATTTGTACACCTTAACTTTGATCATCACCTACCCGCTATCAGCCCGGGGGTTTAGCTTGCGTTGGAATCAAAGCATCTTATGATTTATCTGGGTCAGGGGAGGCACAAAGGCGGAGTTTCTAAAAAAGTAGACATGAGATCAGATAGCCACTCTAAAGGGTTGCTGTTTAGAAATTGGTTAATATGTACTAATTTTAATTTTTCAGTTCAAATTTTTGAAATTGATCTAAATTTTGTGATTTTTAGTTCAAAATTTTAAGACAAAATAAGTATGGGCTAATCCTTAAATAACAACCCTAAAATGGATGCTTGCGTACTCCCCCTCTAAAATGTTTGCTTTGGGCCCCAAAATTTTAAAGCTCCAAGTTTATGAATTTTATTGTTTTATTTTTGCTTGACAATGTTGAATTTTGTAGAAAAAACAGCAAATCTTTAAACAAAAAAAAAAGACTGCTTAATTTTTTACATTAAAAATATTTTATAACTTTGAATAAAACTAGTCAAATTTTTATATTACTAAATAAAATTTTTATGCATTGCAAATATATAACTAATATCTTATTAAATTGAATTAAATTTTACCAATAATAATAATAATAATAATAATAATAATAATAATAATAATAATAATAATATGTGAAGTTAAAAGTTATGTGTCTTTTAATACTACAATATAAACAAGTAAATTCTATTAAAAAACTTAAGGCCTCTTATTAAAAGTTACTATCACGACCCAATATAGGATCATGATCGGCGCTTAGGAGCAAGTGCCCCTAAGTAAGCCTCATCGATATTTTACAGAAAATCGGACAGAGTTTCCCCTATTTTAGGACTATCCAAAAGTTTACCGTGTCTCAAAAATCAGCAACAAAACCAACCTATATCGACCAAATATCTCATAATCTTCATCGACTAATCAAACAGTTATTCACCACTATTAATCAATCACTTGCAACACGTTAATCTTAACTTCATCTCCAAAATACTATAAGAGAATCTAATACTAGTCATGTGTCTAATAATGAACGAATACACATGACACTAATAAAATGAATATGGATCGACTCTAAGAGTTCAAAAGGAGAGAACAAAATAAATAAATGAACTCCTCGCCCACGCGAACAAATGTGGGGCTCACCAGAAACTATCAACTCGTGTACTCTAATTAACGAAATCCTTGGTCGCGTCAACTATTGTCTCTGTAAAAAAATAGCGGCGAGTGAGTCGCTAGCTCAGTGAGTAATAACACTCAACCACAACCATTTTTAATTGGGGACAAGTCAGAAAACATGCTAGTATATTAAATAGAAAATATCATAAGAATACCCTTTCAGAAACAATAACAGTAATTAGTCTCACCATGCGTTTCATGTAATATAAATCAATTGACAATTCGATAATAAGCTCGGTAAACACTGTGTAATATCAATATTCATGTTTGGGAGGTTTCCAAGAAAGGATCATGTAATCTGTATCACTGTGTGGACCCCTTCGTAAAAGGAGTCAAATATAACTGTAGGTCCCTACTCAAGGGAAAACTGTAACTGTATGCTAGTTCTACCTTCCCACTAGCGAGGGCTAAAACTGTGCTCGGTAATCGGTAAGTACAAGGTGCACCAGGTCTAACGAACCCGCCATTAGCTACGGGATCCTTCAAAGTCTCCTCCCATTTATACCTTTTTTTTGTAAACAGTAAATATTCACATGAAAACATTTTCAAAATAGTTCAGGGCATTTCACTTCTTATTAAATCATGTAATCCAGTTTCGGTAACGGTAATCATATCTCAAGCAACAGTAAAACATGTCTAGTAACAATGAGAATCTTTTAAATAACTGTAAACATCTCAAGTAAACTATTCAGTACCATATCAAGTAAAGGACTTGTCCCACATGCAATTTCGAACATTCGATAACATATTTTATTTTCAAAATAACGTATAAATAATGCAGGTTATGAAAACACAAATTGCGCTAAGATTACTACTCACTGTACTCGTGTTGAATTACCAAACGCTTCACCTCAAGCAATCTGTACAACTTCCTCCGGTCAATCTATAGTCACATCACATTAATCTCGTATTAATTTCCTTGTTTAGACTAATTCTTAACTAATTTAGAATACCCAACCCTCGAGATTATACATTTATTTGTCAGCTCATCCAGTTAATATCTACATATGCTTCGGTTTACTCAACACGGTCAATATTCTTCTAATAAAAAGCTGTCATATTGATTATCCATGATATTGTTCAACAAAATATTTTTCTTGATGGCTAATACACTTAGGTTTATAAAACCTTGGACTTCACGGCATCAGGTAGTGGCTTCGGCCCATTAGGATTCTTTTATGCATGTTTTTGTTTTTAATTTAAATTTTTGGCTAAATGGCAATTATGCCCTTATTTCAAATATAGGATATTACATTCTCTCCACCTTATGAAATTCGGTCCCCGAATTTTAAACAAGTACATACATGTAGATTGAAATAAGTGAGGATACTTGACTTACACAACATCGTCCACTTCCCAAGTAGGTTCTTATATTGTATAGTTTCTCCATAAAACTTTCACGAACACAATTTCTTTGACTGTAACTTTCTCACTTATTTGTCAACAATAGCTACTGGCTCCTCCTCGCATAATAAGTTCTTTTAACTCTATAATTGGTGCTTCAACAACATGAGAGGAGTTTGATATACACTTCCTCAGCATATAAACATAAAATACCTGTTATATGAAAGACAATTCAGGATAAAGTGCCAAACAATACGCCATAACTCACACTTGATCAAGTATCACATACAACCCTATAACCCTCGCGCTAAACTTACCTCAGTTTTCTGAATTACATCACACCTTTCATAGGGAAGAGCCATAGGGATACTTTGTCCCTTAATTGTGAAAATTAAGTTCCTTCTCCTCGTATCCCCATAAGACATTTATCTATTTTAAGTCGCGGGCAATCTCTGTCTGATTATTAGACCAGAAGCTATTGTTGTAGGCAAATTCAGCTAAAGGTATATAAACGTTCCAACTACCTCCAAACTCAGAATGCAAGCTATCGATATATCTTTCAAGATATATATAGTACGTTCAGACTGTTTGTCTCACTACAAAAAAACAGCGTTTAGCGACGGCTGCATTCCGTTGCTAAATCAATGTTTTCTGTCGCTAAAGTTGTTTAGCAACGGAATAGCGACGGATTCAAGTTGGTCCCTAAAATCCTCGTTGCTAGGCTTATAGCGATGAAAAATACCAATCCGTCGCAGAATTAGCGACGGAGTAGCGACGACATATTTTTGTAGCAAAGTTTAGCGAGAGAAATATCCGTCGCTATAGAGCTTGTTTCTGTCGCTATTTTGATGCCTTTCATCGCTGCAATACATAATAAAATTCGTCGTTTGTTCTTATAGCGATGAAATTGTCCGTCGCTAGCCGTGTTATAGCTAATTGTCCCTGCTTTTTGCAACAAAAACCTTTTGTTTTAATTTTACGCGATAATTTTAGCTACGGAACGTATCCATCGCTGATTTATTTTTACTATATTGCTGATTTTTTAAAATTCTTTTTATTTATTATTTTAAATGTACTCTGTTAAAACATATTATATAAACTATTAAATACACTTAATAAAAGTCACTGATATTAATATAAATTCAAAAAGGTCCAAAATATATAGCATAATGCATATAACAGTATCATTAAGTACAAAAAATCCACAAGGACCAACAATAATGTCCAAACAAAGTAAGCTAACTACGCTAGGCTGGAGAGTTACGGTCATCATCAGAACCCAATGCATGAACCTCATCAATGTTAGCAGCAGTAGAAGATGTTGGAACTGTAGGTGCCATATCAGTATTTGGCTGATGCGAGGGTAAGGAAACTAATTCGCGTACCCGCTCAACGATTACAGGAACTATATGATCTGTCAGTGCAGGAATCAATCGCATCACTAACTCATCCGGATTCCCTGTCGGTGTTGATTGAGAATTTGGAGGTGTTGTTGACGATGTAGCATCAGATCCAAGAGAGCCATGAAGATTTGGCCTATAGTAGCATTTTGCTTGCGATCCAAGACCATATACTCTTCTTTTCTTTTCTCCTCCTGCGGCTTGATAATATGCTTTACACTGATCAATATCAGATTGAGTTTACATTTGTTGTTGTAATATCTCCTGATATTTTTCCTGTAGAAGAATTAATAAGAACATTCAATTTACAAAATGAAAAAAATATATGAAAGTAAAGGCAATTAAAAAGTTATCTTACATGTACGATTCAGGATTTCTCAGCAACAAAAGATTTTCCATCATTACCACGTGTATGGACGTGCAAATGCAACTTATTTGGTGTTGGATCTCGACCCTTTTTAACAGCCTATACAAAAATTATTCAATTAAGAAGATAGAGAAACATAGAAACTAAAGTCAGTATCTATATATTCAATTATTCAAACTCTTAGTTCTATTTTCCAGTTTAGACTAAAGTCAGTATCTATATATTGACTTCAAATTGGAGTGGAAATATAGAAACTAAATTATTCCTTAAATACCATTACCTGACATTTTCTAAAACCAAGATTTTAGAAGCTGTTTAGCTTTTGGCTGAAGATAAAATGCTTTTAAAATGAGCTGACTTAAGTGTTTCAACCAACTTAACAGGTAAATATAAAAGACAATGCAGAACTAGCTTAAGAACATGAGTATCTACTCAACAGCACACCTAATAGTATCATGATCAAAGAGCCGGGCAAGTTACTAGTTAAATTGTTCAATATGGATTAGGAAATAGCTGGCAGCGCAAAATCTAAAAAGAACTCAAGAAAAAAAAAAAGGGAGCAGTAAATGTATAAAGAAAAATGTGGAAGATGCTATCAAATGAGCTATGGATCAGAACACTATCATTACTCAAAACAACTTTGATAAACTGATGGAGGAGGGAGGAAGATAAAGGAAATAGTGATGATAGACATGTTAGTACACATCAGGAAAAGAATCAAACAAGTAAGTAACAAGAAAGAAGAAGAGGAAGCTACAGATGAATGGGCAAATGAGTCTTCATTAGATGATGAAAACACATCAGAAGAATCCTTAGATGAAAGTACAGAGAAATACTTTCAAAACAAACATGTGATAGTAAAATGCATGAAAAGAATATTGCCAATGTTACATTTTATAGAAATATATTGAGAAGATGTTTTTGTAGGAAATTTTAAGAGTAAAAGGTCTTCATAGTAAAAGCATGAAATACTCTTATCAGTTTTGTCTTCTGCTTAATATTCTTGAGAAACTTGACTGTCTGTTTTGATTCTATCAACTGTTTGGTATTATGATATCTCCTCGATCAGTTGAATTCCGCTAGAAATCCTTTGTCCCTCATCAGTTTTTTTAACAAACTCACACACAGAGTATAAATATACCTGAAAATGTTTGGGAATATGCAAAGGATAGAACAGATACTGATAGTAAAAGCAGGGACAAGACCAAAGCAACTGCAACTGCAACTTCAATTCGTGGAGACATGATATCATACGCACAAGTGAACATGCACACAATACAAATCCAGGGAAAAGTTATAAATACACTTACAAGTCTCTTGCGATGCTCCCCAACACTGATAGAGCCACCTGTATGAGTCTCAGTGGCAATTTTGCTCCCACCACAACAATTTTTTGCATTNATGTCGAAACCCAATTTCGCGAGAAAAAGGGGGCGAGACAGTCAGTTTATTTTTCATGCTTCATACAATCTCTGATTCATGCATCTCGAAATGAGGACGAGTTTTCGTTCCTTTGCACCAAAAGATCAAATCTTTTGGCGGTAAAGTAAAATCTGCAAGCTAGACTCTATAATGATCTTTGCTGGTCATCATCTTGGAAAAAATATAATCTTTAGCTTAGATACTATAATGGTTTTAGCCTCGGACAAAGTAAAGTCTTCAGCTTAGATGGTTTTCTTCGCTCTTGAAATATATAGTCTTCAGCTTAGATGGTGTAATGGTCTTAGCCTCGGACAAAGTAAATTATTCTGCTTAGATGGTTGTCTTCGCCTTTGCAAAATATAGTCTTCAGCTTAGTCGGTGTAATAGACTTTGCCTCGTATAAAAGTAAAGTCTTTGGCTTAGATGATGTAATGGTCTTTGCCACAGATAAAGAAAGTCAAGTTTTCAAATAAAATAAAGTCTTTAGCTTAGACGGTGTAATGGTCTTAGCTTCAAATAATAAATCCTTGGCTTAGACAGTGTAATGATCTTTGCCTAAGATAAAGTAAAATCTTTGGCTTAGACGGTGTAATGCTCTATGCCTCATATAAAATAAAGTTAAATCTTCAAACAAGATAAAGTCATTAACTTAGACGGTGTAATGGTCTCCGCTTCAGACAAAATAAAACCTTTGGCTCAGACAGTGTAATGGTCTTCGCTTTAGATAAAATAAATCTTTGGTTCAGACGGTGTAATGGTTTTCGCCTCAAATTAAGTAAAATCTTGGTGTAATCGTCTTCGCCTAAAGAAAAGAGTCTTTTACTTGAGATGGTGTAAAATCTTCGCCTCGTTCAAAATAATGCCATGATTTTATATAAAGTAATATTTTTGCCAACATGAGTAAAATTTCAGTGGATAAAGTTTAATCGCTTTAGATTTGTTATTCTCTCGAACTTTACGAGCATGAAAAAAACCATCAAAGACCATGGAAGAAGATAAATTACCTGTCAGACTTCACAGGGAAAAGACTAACGTTGCCCCTGGTTATCTTTTTCTCGATTCTTATTACCTGCAAAGAATCAAGAACATTAGATAACCAAGATTCTCAAAAATACAGTATCCGATCTTGCTCGGAGGATAGTACAAACTTTTAAAAAATTGACGTGATGCTACGCAATCAAAGATGATGTGGCTAATTGTCCAGAGTATATCAAGACTAAAGTGTACGTTGGATTTATTAGTCATAAATATGATCATACAATTTGATTGGCATGATTACTGTAATATTTGAAGATTGTAGTACTTCATATGTCAACACTTTAAGATCATAGCTTATAAAATTTCATGGCTATGAATGCTTACATGTATCCCTATGGAATTATGATGGTAAGCACCAATCTTTTAGTGAATTCCTTTCTCTTAAAGCTTATTTAAAGTGAAAATACTTGAAAGGTTCAGAAGAAACTAAATACAAGTATTATGCTCCAATTCCTAAAGCTGCTCATGCAGGAACTTGAGAGAATTTTCAAGATACATTGAGTTGACCTTTTGAAATATTGCTAGAGTAATCAAAAGACCAAACATAATAAAAAAAAAAGAATCATGAAGCTCCACTATTGATGTAAATAAAGATGAAATACTGGGAAAAATTTAAAAATAGCCACAGTTTTAAGAGTAATCGAAATTTAGCAACTTTTCATGTAAAGATAAATAAACCTGAACAAAAACACTGTTCAAAATCCAGAAAAATACTCCAGTATTTCAACATAAGTATACTGGAACTCCAGTATATTATACTAGAGTTCCAGCATAATATACCGGTCCAGCATAATATACTGGTGATTGGAGCACCGGTGCTCCAATCTCCAGTATATTATACTGGAACTTTCCGCGTTTTGGAGTTCCAGCATAATATGCTGGAAGTTCATACACTGGTGCACCGATCTCCAGTATATTATTGTCACGACCCGGATTTCCCACCATCGGGATCATGATGGCGCCTACTCGTGGTAGATAGGCAAGCCAACTTATTTACCTTTCATTAATAAATAAATCTGTTAACAATCCATAGCATCAATAAGAAACATGAAATTTAATAATAATAATATTAGCGGAAGTCTAATTTATAAGTCCGAATCAAAACGCGGAATAGTCAACAATAGCCTCTACCCAAGATTTGGTGTCACATTACTCACGAACCACTAAGAATAAACTAAATACAAAGGTCTGAAAGAAATATAACAACTGTCTGTCTCGAAAACAATGAGGCAACAGTTAAAAGGAAAACATAAAGAAGAGACGCCGGGCCTGCGGACGCCTGCAAGGCTACCTCAGTCTCGTGAATAGGAAAGTCTGCTCCCGAACTACTGCTGCTGCTGCTCCTCAAAACCTGGACCTATGCAAAAATGCACAGAAGTGTAGCATCAGCACAACCGATCCCATGTGCTGGTAAGTGTCTAGCCTAACCCCGGCGAAGTAGTGACGAGGCTGGACTGGATATCACATAGACCTGTGCAGTTATAAATATACAACGGAAATCGAATACCAAGTAATTAACAACATGGGAGGGGAAACATGCTAAGGGGAGATACAATATTAACAACAATCCAGAGTAACAACTAAAACAGCTTAGGTTCACAATGAACAAAGAATCAATAGTCCAGTACAAACACATAGCCTCAATAACTGTTGCGGCGTGCAACCCGCTCCATAATTACTATTGTTGCGGCGTGCAACCCGCTCCACAAATACCACTGTTGCGGCGTGCAACCCGACCCATATCATTTATCATGTATAATTGTTGCGGCGCGCAACCCGATCCTCACCTTTTACTGTTGCGGCGTGCAACCCGATCCTCAATATCATTGTTGCGGCGCGCAACCCGATCCCCGGTATCATTTAACAGTCCGACTCCCCAAACAACAGTCACAATTAAGGGGCATAAAAATAAGTGAATATTTGACAAACATCCCGGCAAGGGAATAACCAACAACGCTTTCTCTTTCTTACTTTTCTTATCTTAGAGTTCACCCTACTATTTTGAGCCAACGCCCAAAGAAACAAGTCATTTCGTATAATTTCAATATTCGTATCACAATTCGAGCCTATGCTCCCAGGAATCAAATGATCATATTACCGTTCACATGTTATTCACAACATATAGAAATTCTCCAATAAACACGGAGTTCACAACCAAGTCATGATAATCACGTTATAAGGACTCACGGTCATGCTAGACACCAATGTATAGATACTCGTCACCATGCCTATACATCGTACTCGATCACATAGCAATTAGCAACAAGACTCAACTCCTATTCCCTCAAGCTAGAGTTAAACCAAACACTTACCTCAAAGCCTTGAAATCCACTTAATCCTCAACTATTGCTTTACCTCGCAGTTCCACCTCCAATTCGCTCGAATCTAATCACACATTGCTCAATTACTTTAATAAACATTATATGAATCAATTTGAATGCATAAAAATGAGTTTCCCAAGTTTTTCCCAAAAATTTCAAAATCGCCCCCGGACCCACGTGGTCAAAACTCGAGGTTCGAACCAAAATCCGGTTACCCATTCCCCCATGAGTTCAAATATATAATTTGTTTT